GTGAAAGAGGAACAGGAAGTCAGCTTGACACACATGAGCAACAGGGAATTCAGCCAAAAGCACCAGCCACTGAAAGCATACTTGGCTGATAGTCATAAACCTCAACGACCACTGGCTTGAGATTCTGCACTGCAAGAACCTGTTTCAGTTGTAGTCTGGGGGACGGCCTTGGGAACCTGCGAGACAGAAGGGATGAAGAGAAGGACATATGCAGCACACATGAAGGGGGCATATAGAAAACATATCCAGTGCACATCTCACCTCTTTCAGATACACAAGCACATGGTCATCTCCAGTATCAACCTGCTGCACTAATGGAACAAATGAATCTGGTGGAGATCCAAGCTGAGAGGAAAAGTCCATTAACATGTGAAGCAGCTTCAAGCATCTTAGGACTCTACATACAATTCATCATAAAACATACGAACCAGTGACGTATCTGCTGTGAAACCCAACAGGAGTTTAATGTTCACGATAACCATGTTGGTAGTTGGTTTTGCACCATTGTACCTAAATGAAGGGGCGTTAAAAAGAGATAAAAGCACTTCTGAATTAACCATTATGTGCATCTACAAAAATGGCTTAATGCTGCTCAGAGGTGGCATAATGGCATTTATGCAGAAATTCCAACTATTCTTTGATATTAGGGGCTGAGGTGGGTCAGAACTACATGATATGGACTGGCTTTCATGTGGAATAGTCACAGAATTGAGCAGGCACAGAGCAGCCTTAGCTCAGCTTTGTAAAGATGCTTTAAGGGTCAAGCAGGTAAAAGTTAAAGCGGTTCTTACTTCACAGTGATGTTCAACATGAGATCTGCTCCACGCACTTTGCAGTCTCTTGCCACCTTCACTTCAATGCTAAGTGTTCTGGAAGCTTTAATTGGTGTCGGGATGTTGTAGAAACATGCAACCTGGGAGTACAAATCCAAACATGACAAGGAACTAGGACAAGCATAGAGGTAGAAGTTAAGCAGGTGAAGGTTCAGACCTGCACGGACACACAGGTGGAGCCCTTCACTCGAACACTATATCTGCCAGGAACGTTTTTCAGCGGCGTCTCCTGATACAGCAGCCTGTTGTCTCGATTCACATCGAAGTTGTAGCATCCTGTTGTCTCGATTCACATCGAAGTTTTAAACCCCCCCTGCCACAGACGACGACTGTACGGTAACAGTGCTGGAGCCCTCCAGGCTGAACACTTCAGCAGCGAGCAGAGACGGAGCATGAAGAGCCACCACAGTGTCCTAAAAATAAGCACCAGATTAAAACCTCCACTCAGATATAATATTTGCGCTCATGTTTGGTAGTCAGAGTCACCTGGGTGGAGGAAAAGCCTCCATAAGGATTCTGCTGGGTCACAAGCCAGTTGACAGTGCGGTTAGCATAGCCCAGATTAGCAGACGTGAGAGGCGGTACAGAGAACCGCCAGCAGCACATAGGAGCTGATCTCCACCGCCAGAGTGTCACCAGATGTAGTCTGAGACCAGTGGAGCTTAGTGCCTTAAGACGAGACCGAGGGCAGAAAGTTGATACCAAAGAAGCGGAACACCTCAAACAAGAGACTAGTGAATCTCACCTTCAGAAATGG